GCACACACCTGCACACGCTGGCCATACTAGTTTGTCCAGTATCTTCTGTTTCATCCTCCAAGTCAGAGAAGGACATTCAAGGCTGGAGCTCTGCCTAGCTGTTCTTTGAGCCCAGAGCTTGCCAGGACAGTCCGGCTAGTGTCCACATTCTTAAGGTGATGACTAGGAGGAAGTGAGGTTCAGGTGTTCAGCACCAAAGGGACATTGTGCTGGACACGCTCCTCTTGAAGGCTGTGCTTTTCCAGTTTGGTGGCATCCACTGGTATGGACTCCTTGAGCCTCTACTATGTGTAGAACTTACTGGGCCTCGTTGATTGGGATGTGATTTGCCACTTGACCTTGGAAGCTGCCATCTAGGGAACAGAGCGGGTGCTGCCTGGCCAACTGTGAAAATTATTGAGAAAGGGCTGGGGTAGTGGCAGGGTAGACAGGGATGGAATACCTACCACCCAGCCTAGTCAGTAAGTGTCCCTAAAGATGACATTTGGTCCTCAGCCTCTCAGCTGAGCTCCACTAAGGAAGAGTGGAGATTGTGAGGCTCTGGGGCTCATGAGGATCATGAAACTGGAAGTGAGTTGGGCTGCAAGATGGCCAGGAAAGTGATCTGGAGATGATGGAAGTCATTCTGTCCACCCTTGCTGGACTTCAAAGAAGTGAGGACAGACAACATTCAAAAGTACCCACAAAGGGGCTTCCTGTTGACATTTTCACTCCTTCCCCTTCTCTGGGGCCAGAGCCTCTCTGGGCTCCACCCACCCTGCTGGGATCACTGGCAGAGGGTGGATATGAAACCATGCCACCCAGCTCCCAACCCTGCTGCAGTGTGTCTTTTTTTTTTTTCTGAATCTCAGTTTGAAAGCCAGATGGTACCCCACACACCAGCCAGCACTAGGCTGCCCACCAGCACCCTACAGTTTGTGCTGAAAAACAGAAGCGAACAGACTAACATAGACCAGGAGTCATGTAGAACCCTAAATACACACACACTCAGGAGTCCATGCGAACAGGAGTCCACTCCTAGGTGAACGGAGGACCCTTCTTATCTCCACGCCTCTAGGACAGTCAATCTTTTCATGGGTAAGAAGAAAGCCATAAGCCTTTCGTTAGCGCTGCAGATACAAACATCGTCCTTCTCTTTCCCACCTTGTTTCATCCACGACAGACACAAGGCTTCTAGGGGCCCCGGTTCAAGGGCTGGGTAAGAAAATAGGTACCACCCCTTGCTTGGTAGGTGTTTGAGACAAGATGTGGGGCACTGGATCCTCTTCCAGAAGGCAGTGAGGGAGTAGACATGGCTACTTGCCATTTCTAATGGTTACAGACTATGCAGGATGACAAGCCAGGGTGGCTGAGCTGAAGGATGGGCAGAGACTAAGGGTCTGCATTCCAAATTGCCAGGGAGGTGAGACTCTCACCTTGCACTTTCTTCCAGATGCCCATAATTACTCATCTGCATCCCTCATCCCTGCTCCTCTTTGCTCTGATTCAAAACAACATGCTCTCACCAGGCCGTGGTAGCAGACAAAAAACCAAAACCAAACCAAAACAAAACAAAGACAACATGCTCTCAATACATTAAACATAATGCCTTGCCCATTTCCCATTGTCTGCCAGTGCCGGTGCCGGTATCCATAGTCTGGCCCTTTGGTAGTATCTCAGTGAGACTCTCACAACCTCAGAGGGCTCAAGCTTAGGCTCCACTACTCTTGGATTTCAGAACAGCCCCTGCTACCACCATGAACTTATATAACACTTTAGCTCTCTGAATGTTTGCAAAAGGAACTTCTAGGTGTGTGACAAAGCTTTTCCTAAGGAGATGGAACACGCATGTTTACTCACCCCAGACAGGGAACTCATGACAGATCAAAGTACAGATACCACCCAAGTCCAGTGTGGTAAACCAGTGAGTTTTATTGGGGTTGCTTTCAGGAATAGAAATGACTCAAAGACAGCTGCACCACTAAGGGCCAACCCAGCTGGGAACATACAGCACACTGCCCAGCCTACAGGTAGCTCGACAGGTTGGAGAGTGTCCTCTCTAGGTGCCTCAGCTGGTCTACACCTCTTCCAGACATGCTGGTTTCTGCCTCTTTGAGGCAGCTGTTTTGATCTGAGCCTTCTTTGCAGCTTTTCTCCTCTGAGTCTTCTTTGCAGCTCAGCTTCTTTCAGTCTGAGAGGGGTTTTGTCAGCTTTTGTTTACTCTGGCAGGAAGGGGGCCTAGTGAATCTGGTTAGTTTCAGGGACTTCCTGTAGCTATTTTGAGTTATTTACCTGCTTAAGGAGCTTCTCTGCAGGATGGAATATTTCATCATCAGAGGAAACTGTTACACAAATCCAGGGCTGTCAAAATGGCTCAGGCATGAAGAGCACTGGTTGATCCTGTGAGGACCTGAGTCTGATTCCCAGCACCCACATGTTAGTGCACAACCATCTGTAACTCCAGTCCTAGGAGATCCAGCGCCCTCTCCTGGCCTCTACAGGTATCACACATACGTGTTACACATATGTGTGCAGAACACCCATGCACATAAAAAGATAGCCATAATTTTTTAAAAGAGAACATCTAGTGTTGGAGGATACAGAGAAAAGCAACTTTCTTATTGCAAAGAGATTACAGGCAGTGAGTGAAGGGACCAGTATTATACCCCAAGACCAAGGTCTCAGTACAAAGGAGATTTATTTGCCCCAGAGGGACAAAGGGCAGGAAATAAGAGACAAGGATAGGAGATAAAAAGAGGTGCTCACAGACATTCTCATATGCCTTAGTGGGTTCGTCTAGGTTAGAGGGGTAGCACAATGCTAGCCAAAGCACACTCAATATACAGAGCTCCGGGGTCCTTGTCACCTGCTTACCTTCTCTATGTGGGGCAAGTTAGGGAGCTCACAGTACTTGCAGAGGGTTAGGGTTAGGGTCTATCATAGCCCCGTTTGTTTATACAGGCAGGAAAAGGTTTGGCGATGCCTAGGACAGGCTGTAGAAACAGGTTGGGTTCCACTTCATCTCCTAAAATCATGCTTGTTAGGCTGCTAAGGGGGGGGGGCTGGGTGGTGGTGGCGCACACCTTTAATCCCAGAACTCAGGAGGCAGAGGCTGGCGGGTCTCTGTGAGTTCAAAGCCAGCCTGGTCTACAGAGTGAGTTCCAGGACAGGCTCCAAAGCTACAGAGAAACCCTGCCTTGAAAAACAAAACAAACAAACAAACAAGACTGCTAAGGGTACTAGGTTCCTTTGCTGAACTACCAGGGAGATTCTTTCCTTGAAAGAAAAGCAGGCCACTGTTTCCTACTGAGGAAAGTGTTTCAATGTATCAGCACTACAATCCTTAGCCAGGGAGTTGGCTCAGCAATTACGAGCACTTGTTGGTCTTGCAGAGACATGGTTTTGATTCTTAACACCAATTTGGTGGCTCACAATTCTGTAATTCCAGCTCAGGGGATCTGACACCCTTATCTGACCTTCATGGACACTAGGAAGGCATGTGGTACACACACATACATGCAGGCAAAACACTCAAATACATAAAATAATCTAAAACTAAAGTTTAAAAAAAAAGCACTGCAATTCTCTGAAGTTTTGCTGAGACCATTATTTTTAAATTATATTTTCTTTAGTTGTTTTGCGGGTGTGGGTGACTATGAACTGCCTACATGTTTGGAGGTCAGAAAATAACTTGGGGTAGATTCTCTCCTTGACACCATGTGGGTGTCGGGGCTCAAAGTTGGGTTTTAAGGCTTGGCAGCAAGCAGCTCTATCCACTGAGCCATCTCTCCCATCCCTTCTCCTGCTATTTTTAAATGTAGAAACATCTTGAGGGCTGCTTGGTGCCAAGGCCAGTGGGTGACCTCAGTGTCACCCCCTCAGAAATGGAGGGTGTGGACGACCAAAATATGCCATCTTAAAATACACTTCTAGTTGTGGGATGATTAGTCAGAGAAACTGCAGGCACAAGCGAATGTCAGAAAAGCCTCTGGAAAAGAAACGCACACGGGTCATTTATATTAGTAATCACGCATTTTCTCTCAAGACCCTCCTCTCTATCTGGGTTCCCATCCTCCCTCCAGTTATTATCTTTCATGTGATCCAGAGATTGTCACCTGTCCTTTGAGACTGATTTCCTGAGACCTTCTGGCACTGTGTGTGAGACTCCTGCACTTTGGGACTCTCACAGTTCACAGAACTCTTCCTTCCCTCGTCAACCTCCAGCAACCCTTGGGCCGGTGAATCTCTGTGTAGCATAGAAACTCAGTCACCTGGCTTTGATTGCGTTTCGCGCCTCCAAATGCAGGCTACACAAATTATCTGCTGCTGGTTACTCCAAATCCAGACCAGCCTAGCCAGGCGATCCTCCCACTGGGCGGGATCCGTTTTCCTCCTCCGGCACAGTCAGACCAAACACAGTTCAGATGAAATGTCGCCTATTTATTTTAAACTTACTGCCATTTCCCTTTTTAAAGTTCTTCAGGCCCAACCTCGGGTGGTCGGTTTTGGATCTTTAAGTCATCACCCACGCGCACAGGGTGGCACCCCTCACAAGTTTCCCCCGTTTCTAAAATATTTTTTATCACATTCTTATGACTGTGGACTTCGGTTTGCAATTATTTCCATCAGGTGGGGCAAGACGACTTCCGCGGGGCAAGAAGCCGCAAAGACCGGCGAGTACTACGAGAAGGGCTGAAAGCCAGGAGCGCCCACGGCCTTCGGGAGCCCAACCCTTTGCTCGGCCAGGCCCTGCCCACACTCAGTGTAGGCTTCGGCCACCTCCCGGCCCCAACCCCCTCCTCAGCGGCTCGGGCAGCGCTGGCTGCTTGACCCGCGAGCTCACGAGCCCTTGGATACACCGGCAGGCCGCCTAGCTAGGCTCTCTGCCCGAAGCCCCGCCTTCCCTTCCTGACTGACGTGTCTCTGCACCAATAGAATGTGATATCTTCTGCCCCTCACGGCCCGAAACCCGCTAGCGCCTAGCGATCCACGTGGCACGGCGCCAATCGGAAGTGGTCCAGTCTCTGCACCGCCTCCCGGAGCTTGCTCTGCAAACCGTGGCTGCTTGTGCTGGACGCGCGTGCAAAAGGAGGGCGGTGGAGCCCTGCCATGCAGCTCCCCAAGGACTCCACTGGGCATGGCCCGCTGGCCTCAGTGGTAGGTACGGTGGGGTGAGACACAGCCCCATCCCTCGTCCCTTCTGTAGCTTTTTCTCCTCCGGACCTGGTAATCATCTTTTTCTGGGCTCGCAGCCGCCAGGGTCTTTCCGGAACGCTGCCACGGGTTCAGGAACCTCAGCTTGGAGGGCGGCACCCACCCTTTCCTGTGTCAAGGCGAACGTGTGTACAGATGGCGCTCCTGCTAGAGTTCCTACCGTACACTAACCTACACACCTACTTGTCCAGCACACTATCGCCCACCCCCACTCCCTTAGCCCTGCTCGCCTCGACAGTATGCCACACCTGTCCCACTTAACCTAGCTGGTGGGTTAGACGTCAGGAGCCAGGACACCTTGTAGGTACGGTTCAGAGACTCAGCGTCATTTGTATTTTTCATGCCCATCTTATTGACATTGGGAACAGGTAAAATCAAGGCCTAGCCTAACCTTGTTAAAAATTCACATATCCCTTTTTTATTGTTAGGTCTCCTATAGCTCTGGCTGGCCTGCAGCACAATTAAGGCCTAGCCTAACCTTGTTAAAAATTCACATACCCCCCCTTTTTTTTTTTATTGTTAGGTCTCCCGTGGCTCTGGCTGGCCTGCAACACCCATAGCTGAGGATGACCGTGAACTAACACTCCAGCCTCCACACCCACTTAACTGATAACAGATATGAGTCACCCCACACCCTTCTTCACTTGTAGGTCTTGAGAAAATGAAAAATGTTCATTTCCTTTACAAAGTCAGTCCAGAGGACTGGGGTATAATTCTGTTATACACATGCAAGGCCCTGGGTTCAATCCAAGAAGCTAAAAAAAAAAATAATAATAATAAATAAAAAGTCTTTAGGCATTCATTTTCAGAACAAACACAGGATGAAATGCCACTTTTGGATCCCCACCTCCTCAAAGAGCATTTAGTTTGTAAAGAACTTGGTAAATTTTGTCTTCAATACTCATAAATTTTTGTAACTATGTTCAGTTTCAGTAATTTAAATATTATGTGTAGATGTTATCTATAGTGATTTATATAGATATTGTCTATATTGTATGTAGACTTTGTGGAGATTTTATAGCTACTGTCTGGGTTACATATAGCTATGTAACATGTGCATGTTATGTGTGTGTATGTTCACACCTACATAACCTATTGGTTTTCCTTCTGAGAAACTTTTGTATTTGCACGATAACTCAAGGGTGGCAACAACCGTTAATTTCTGTGGCTGTTCTTTTTTTTTTTTTAAGATTTATTTATTATGTATACAGTGTTCTGTCTGCCCACATGCCAGGAGAGGGCACCAGATCTCATTACAGATGGCTGTGAGCCACCATGTGGTTGCTGGGAATTGAACTCAGGACCTCTGGAAGAGCAGCCAGTGCTCTTAACCTCTGAGCAATCTCTTCAGCCCCATCTGTGGCTGTTCTTTATTGCTCACTCCATCATATAAAATTGAGGCAGTTCCAGTGACAATTGTTCTTTTGGTCATCAAGTTTTAGTGATTTTATTTTATGCCACTTTAGAAACTTTTGATTTTATTTATTTTGATTTTATTTCTCTCACTTCCTGAGAGAAAGTGCTGGTGCCTGAAGTCAAGGACAGAACAAAGATTAAGGGTCTCTACAGGCCCCCTTGATCCAGCTGTTTGATTAGCTGTGCAGGAGTATGAAGGGGTCACGTTGTTGGAGTTTTCCTAAGGACGAGTGTGCCATCTAGTCAAGGGCTGGTTCTCATGAGTAGGGGATAGATGTTAATCAGAATGGCGATGCTTTTGCCTCGTGATTAAAATAATGAATTTACCATTGAGCTGGAGGGGCATTTTGATGCTTTTCAGCCCCCCCCCTTTCAGAAGCATCTAGAAAGGAATAGGGATAGAGCGATCAGAGGTAAAGGCACTTTGCACTGAGCCTGACAACCTGGACTTGTTCCCCAGTGTCATGTGTATACATACAACAACATGAATAAATGAAATAACTTTTTGAAAGCATCAGGAACTTGAGGGGCCAAATGAATGGCAAGAGCTTAGAAAGGAGACATAGATATATTTGGATTGTTGGGTATGCCTGTCATGAGGCCTGGTTCTAGGCCATCTCATGGATGCTGAAGGGCGTGCGGTTCCCCGTGGCTGTTGGCTAACCCATTTCTCTGAATTCTAGACTATTATCCTCCCAGTGCACAATGCTGAACTGTGGCTGGATGAGTGCTTGGCGTCTGTGTTACAGCAAGACTTTGAAGGCACCATGGAGCTCTCTGTTTTTAATGATGCCAGCAAGGTATTTATGAGCCAGCTGTTGGGTGACTTAATGCTTTACAAACCACACTTAAGGGCGTTTCCTAACCGGCAGTATCACACTTACAGGACAATTCTAGGACCATCATAGAGAAATGGAAGGTGAAACTGGAAGATTCTGGCATCTCTGTAGTCGTTGGAGGCCATGACTCTCCTTCTCCCAGAGGAGGTAACATGATACATTATAATTATAGTTTTTTTTATCAACCTATGAACTTAAATGGTTTCATATTGTTCTAGTCTAGAGAAAAGTATCCTGGTGAAGAAAAGTATCTTGGTAATCTTTAGGTCTAGTGATTAGGTCTGCTGCCTGCTAAGAATCAAATGGACCTCAGCTTCTGTCTGTCTTGTCTGTCTCTCTGTCTCCTCTCTTTCTCTCTTGACAGGGTCTGACTGTATAGTCCCGCCTGGCATGGAATCAGTATGTAGACCAGGCCAACCTTGAGCCCACAGAGATCTGCCTGCCTCTGCCTCCCTCCAGCCACTTTCTCACCCTTTGGTAACGACTGATTGCTGTCTCAGTGTCCACTTCCAATGTGTAGCTGGAGCCTAATTCACATGTAGGTTTTAGGAGGTGTGACCTTTGAGAGGTGATGGGGTCTTGCGGGTGGAGATTCATGATTGAGAATGGGGTTAGTGCTTCATAGAAGAGGCCCCAAATAGCCCTTGACACTTCTCTTATATAAGGACAAAGGGAAAATAACCTCAATGAGCCAGGAATCAGTCTTCACCAGATACCAAATCTGGCAGTGCATTGATCTTGGCTGTATGGAGGTCTCTTGAGTGCCTGATGTAGTTCATGTCTACAGATTCGTTAGTTCTGGACATATACTATCAACACACCATAGTATGTACTGTTGTAACTGGCTTAGTCTCTTAAGTACAGTTTTATTAATATTCATCTGTTATAGCAATACTTTATTCCTTATTAGAGAGTAATTTCGTTGCACAGATAAACTATGTTCTATTTATCCATTTCATCAGTTGATAGGCATTTAGATTTTTGCAGTTGGAAATTCTTTTTGTGGTGCCCATACAAATATTTGTGCACAAGTTTTTGTTGGAACACTGATTTTTCAACTCTTTGAGTATATGAGCGTTGTTTTTTTTTTAAATCCATTGAGCATATGCCTTATAATTCTATATTTATCATCTTGAAGAACTGCCAGACTGTTACTCTCACTGATTATACTATTTTACACTTTCCAATTTACTCACGCACACTATCACTTGCTGTTTTCTTTTGTCATTACTATTGTAGCCATTCTGGTGAGTGTGAAGTAACTCACGGTTTTGTTTGCATTTCCAAGTGGTTAATGATGTTAAAAGCCTTCCATGTACTCTGGTGATGTGTATCTTTGGAGAGGAATCTGTTCAACTTTTTGCTCACTGTTTCCTTGAGTCTTTTTCTTTAATTTATTTATTATGTTTATAGTGTTCAGGGCACAAAATCTCATTATAGATGGGTGTGAGCCATCATGTGGTTGCTGGGAATTGAACTCAGGACCTCTGGAACAGCAGTCAGTTCTCTTAACCTCTGAGCCATTTCTCCAGCCCAAGTCTTTTGTCTTTTCATTGCTGAGCTCTAGAAGCAGTATACATATGTGGCATACCAAAGCATTATTAGAATGTATAATTTACATACATTTTCTCACATTTTGGGGGATTATCTTTTTATTCTTTTGTGGTAACCTTTGCTGCACAAAAGTTTACAACTGATGAAATCCAGTTTAGTTTTTCTTCCTGGCATGTCTTTTGGTGTCAATATCTAAGACAACCATTGCTTGATCAAGGGAGTAAAGAAATAACTCCTTTGTTTGTTTTAGAGATTTTTATTCTTTTAGCTCTTATATTTAGTCTTTAATCCATTTTGAGTTAATTTTTATGAATGGCAGGAGAGGTAGGAGACTAGACATCTTTTTTGAAAAATCTGTAGATATTATTTCCTTTCAAAAACATTTTTTTCTTTCTCTTTTTTCTTTTCTTTATTTTTTTATGTTTATGGGTGTTCTGCCTGCTTGTATGTCTATGCACCACATGAATGTACCTGGTGCTAATGGAGACCAGAAGCGGGTGTCAGATTCATGGAGACTGGAATTACAGACAGTTGTGAGCTGCCTCCTAGGTGCTGGGAATTGAACTTCGGTCCTCTGGAAGAGCAATCAGTGCTCTTAACCACTGAGCCATCTCTCCTGTCATCTACAGCTTTCTTTCTTCCTTTGTGTTTGTGTGTGTGTGTGTGTGTGTGTGTGTGTGTGAGAGAGAGAGAGAGAGAGAGAGAGAGAGAGAGAGAGATATTGATTGAGAGAGAGAGTGGTTTTTCAAGACAGAGTTTCTCTGTGTAGCCCCAGCCATTCTGGAACTCCCTTGTAGAATAGGCTGGTTTTAAACTCAAGAGGTCTGCCTGCTGCATCAACAGCTTTCTTAAGAGTCTTTTTTCTCTAGAGAACTTGTCAGGAACCAACTAACCACAGACGCACGAGTTTACTTTTTGTCTCTGTTCTATCCATTGTTTTCTGTCACCATCCTTTTGCCAGTACCATGCTTTTTGCTAGTATAGCTTTTCATTAGGTTTTCTGTTCATCTGTGTTGCATATACACGCAGATACTTAGCCATTGGTTGGTGTATATTCTCAGCCAAATAAATTGTTTTCTTAACTTCCTTCTGCTTATTTTTCTTATTGTTGATACTGAAGATCTTATGGTTTTGCTTAACTTACTTATTAGCACTAATACTTTTTTCTTTTTAAAGATAGTGCAGTGTATTCACAGAGCCAGAGGTAGTCTTCCTTATGATTTGATCTTGGACTTGTGTGTGTGTGTGTGTGTGTGTGTATGTGTGCTCATGTATGTGCACATTTGTGCCTTATAGCCCAGGCTAGTGGCCTGGAACTCACTGTGTTGCCTAGGGTGGCCTTAAACTCATGATTTTTCTGCTAAGGATCCTGGGTATTGAGCTTATAGGTATGTGCCACCATACCTAGCTCCTAGTTTAGTCCTCTTCTTTTTTTTTGTTTAATTGCCCTGGCTAAAATCTCTTGTAAAGTGCTGAAGTAGTAAAAGTAGACATCCTTATCTTTACCCTGACCTTAGAGGCAAAGCTCACAATCTTCCTCTGTTGAGTATGGTACTAGCTAGGGGGTTTACTAGTGCCCTTTATTAAACTATGGGGTTTACTAGTAGCCTTTGTCAAACTAAGGAAGTCTTCTTGTGTTGCATGTTTATCAACAGTACTATTTTTAATCACCAAAGGGGTAAGTGGGTTGGATTTTTGTCAAGTGATTTTTTTTTTTTTTGGCATCAATTTGAGAAACTGATTTTTCTCCTTCACCATGTTGGCTTATATAATTACACTGATAACCATTGTTGAACCATTTTTTCATTATTTGGGTAAGTCCTACTCAGTCATTCTGTGTAATCTTTCTACTAGACTGCTGAATTCAGTTTCCTGGTGCCTTGTGTGTGCGTGTGTATGTGTGCGTGTGTGTGTGTGCGTGTGTGTGTGTGCAGGTACATACATGGAGGCTAGATATCTGGTGTCATTCTCAATCTTATTTTTTGATATAAGGTCTCTCACTAAACCTGGTGTTCACTGGTTGGTCAAGAGTAGTTGGTGACCACTCTTCCTGTCTCTGCTTCTCCAGTGCTAAGATTAGAGGCATATAACACCACGCTTGGCTTTTCATGTGGGTGCTGGAGATACAAGCAGTCCCTCGTGTGTGTGACAAACACTTTACTAACAGAGTCGTTTCCCATTTCTTTCTTTCTTTTTTTAAATATTTATTTATTTATTATGTATACAATATTCTGACTGTGTGTATGCCTGCAGGCCAGAAGAGGGCACCAGACCCCATTACAGATGGTTGTGAGCCACCATGTGGTTGCTGGGAATTGAACTCAGGACCTTGGGAAGAGCAGGCAATGCTCTTAACCTCTGAGCCATCTCTCCAGCCCTCTTTCCCGTCTCTTGTTTAAGATTTTTTTTAATTTTTTTTTTTCCGAGATAGGGTTCATCTGTGTAACTTTGGTGCCTGTCCTGGAACTAGCTCTTGTAGACCAGGCTGGCCTCGAACTTACAGAGATTCTCCTGCCTGTGCCTCCCGGAGTGTTGTAATTAAAGGCATGCGCCGCCACCACCCGGCCTAATTAATTTTTTTTAGACAAGCTTTCACTACGTAGCTCTGGCTGGCCTGTAACTTGCTGTGTAGTCAAGCTGACCTAGAACTTGCAGATCCACGTGCCTCTTCCTCCTGATTTCTAGAATTAAAGGTGTGAGCCGCTACATTCAGCTTTTATTATTAAGGGTTTCTGTGTGTGTGTTCATAAGGGATGTTGTTGTATGGTCTCTAGTTCTTAAAGTATTTTTTAGTGGCTTTGATGGGAATTCTGACCTGTAGGACCGCTTAGGAAGTGGGAAAGAATGGGACTGGTGTTAATTCTCCTGTTTGCTAGACTTCATTGACGAAGCCATGAATTAGATCCTGGGCTTATTTCTTTGCTTTATTCTTTTTTTTCCCTTTATTCTTGAGTCAGGTCTCTTGTTCCTGGGTCACTTTTTAGTTTGTATGTCCAGGAGTTTCTTTGCTTCTCTCAGGTTACTGGCTTTAGTGTCCAGAGTGTCCGCTTCTAGCCCTCTGGACCCTCATCAAGGCTGACAGTGATGTAACATTCCTCATCCCAGTGATTCCAGTCTTCCTTTTTCCCCGTCTAGCTACGTTGGTTACTTTGTTCATTTCTTCATAAAAACATGTTTTTAAATTTTTTATGTGCATTGATGTTTTACCTGTGTGAGGGTGTCAGATATTGGAGTTACAGGTAGTTGTGAGCTACTGTGTGGATGCTGGGAATTGAACCTGGGTCCTCTGGAAGAGCAGTCAGAGATGCTGAGCCATCTCTCCAGCTCCCCTAAAAACAGCATTTTTTAAAATTTTTTAGTTGCTTCTTTTACTCTGTTTCTTTCTGGTCCTAAGTGTTGTCTTTTTGATTGATGGATTCTTTTATCAGTATATAATGTTGTACTTTATTTGTTTTCTTGCTTAAAATAATTTAGGAATAAAATCAGTTTTGTCTGGTATTTGCACAGTTACCCAACTTTGTTTGTGCATGGAATATCTTTTTACATGCTGTCTTTCAGCTTATGTATGCATTTGGATCTTTTACAACATTTAG